GCGCATGTACTAAGGTAGTGAGCGCCCCCGTGTCTAGGTAAGGTCACAGCTGGGCAATCCGCCAAAGGTGGAAAAAGGCGGTGTGGACTACCAACGGCACTTGCGTTTCCATGGTGAGCATCGGGTCCAGGTGTACCCCCAGGCTGCGGACCCCACTCTTCGCGGCTAGGGCCACCACCCCAAACATGAGGGAGTTTCCCAAGCCACCATCCACAGGGCCACCCACCCTCAGTACTTCCGTCTTGTCCAGGTTCAGCCTCAGCCCGTTCTCCTGCATCCATTGCTGTACGGCCCCCAGGCAGTGCTAGAGGGACAGGATGCATATACCAGGAGGAAATCTTAAGAGGAGTGGGTTAACAAGAACAAAGAGAAAAATGGGAGATAATGTGAGTGAGGAGGCATAATAAGCTGTGTTGTAAGCACATGTGAAGCAAATGGTAGTTATAACAGAATTTGTTAACCACATACAAACTACCACAACCTAACCTAATAACATAATTACTGTCTTCATGTGGTTGCTTTTAAAAGCCATATGAAAAGGGTAACTGTTATACAATTACTCCCTACATCAGTGCTATGGCAGTACCACCATTTGTTGCTTTACCTCAGCAAAATATGAAACTGTCATATGGAATTTTATTTTTATTTACACTATAGTCCAACTAGGGAGTACGAGCCATTAACTTCCCTAGATTTTATTTCCAAATAATAGTGCTTCGGCCAACACAGTGACCCAACATTGAGTGGGGAGGGATCTTACACAGATACGCAGGAAAGTGGCCAACATTTTTTTCTTTCCAAAAATAATATTTATAACAGGAAAACAAAGTGCGTTAACAAAAGTGATAAAGAAATAAAGTACGTTAATGAGAGATAAAACAAATACAACAGGCTCCACCCAAATATGCATCACAAATAGCCAATGTTTCCTGTTCCTTTGCATTAGGAAATTAGCACTGACCATGTCTTTGCATCTCTTATCCATACAACTTTTAAATTTTGATTAGTGAGTTGCAGTCCATAATCAGCAGACGTTTGTACACCCAGGTCTAAGCAGACTAATATGAATGTGTTGCTGCTTATCCAACAACACTGGATCAAGCATGTGGCCTCTATGCCAGATGAAATTACAGCCCTTCACTATTAGAGTGAAAATTAACTTGAAGGCCAGATTCTTGGTCTAGTGGCCACATTCTAACTGATGCTCACTTAAGGTTTGTTTAACTTGCTATGGCTAATTGCAGCTTATTTGTAAGGTCTTGTGACACATCCCAGTCATACATCTTCTCGCCCAGCTAACTGTGCAACTCAAATGCAGTGTTGTCACGTCACCTACTTGCTGCAGCTAGCCACAGCAAACCACTCATACCTTATGTGAACATCAATAGGATTCTAGCCGGTATTTTAGACACATACTAATATATTTATGGCTGACTTCTTAGAAGTCAAGCACTAAAATAAATCCTAAATTTCAAGGTTCTGGGTCTATTTTATGCTGGGAAATTATCTTCTTTATAAAATAAGCTTTAAAATGTTATTCCAACTAAAATTGAATCTTTATGTTTAACAAAAGGCCACTTCCTACCTATAATGATGTAGAACAAATCTCTGCATTCATGTTTACCCTGATACCAGCAAATAGAGATATTTTTCTCTGGAACATGTCATAATGTTCAGATTTTGCAGATATGGCTCTAGGGTTAGCTACCAAAACATTATAGCAAATTAAATATTCACTGATCAGAGTCCTTATGACGCTCTGGCTTAAGCACTTTATGGGTAACTGGAAATTCTTTCAGGATGTTTGTAATGAATGTAGTGTCTATCTCCCTCAGACTCTTAGAATGAATCATGGTACCATCACCAGAAGTTCACCAAAAACCTTGAGTATTTAATGCCAATTTAGATCATGACGGCCATGTTTTTCAGGAAAGCTTCAATGGTTGATTTCAGAAGGGGAAAAATTATTATGGACTTCTTTTCACATTTACAAGTTCCAAACCTAAAGGAGAGGGATATAAATAGGGATACACAAGAAAGAGAAGGTGCAAACATACTTACAGTCCTGTTCATCTTCATTAATTCAATCAGAATTTGAGAATGAGAACCTGATTAGGGTGGCATGCTCCTTATTAAGGGCCAGCTTGGCAGCCCCCAGTGATTCACTGGAACAAAGTCAGAGGAGGCTTTGATCATAATGTTGTAAAGGAACTGAAATTGTGTGTTTTTATGCTCTACTACATTTCTATAACAAAAAGAGAACTCTCAAAATACATCTCTCTACTTTCTAAGAAATACACTAACATAAGGAATTTTACAGAGTTTCCTGTTACATGGTAATGGAAAATACTTATACATTTCAGATATTACAGAGAATGTCAGGCTGTTTGGTCTACCTGTCTATCAGAACTGAAATGCTGCAGTGCATTTATATTCTGTAATTTTACATTCCTTGATAAAATGGATGATGAACCATGGCATCTTTCGATCATTCTCATGCATTTATTCTCAACCCTTTCTTTCACTTCTTCTCTGCCTGCTGGATATCATATTACACAGTCCTGCTTTCTAAACACAAAGTGAGGGGTAGATAAAACAGCCCAAGCAGAAATATCTCATAAGTAAAATTTAAAAATATATAATCAATCTCTGTTCAGAGGCAACAATACTTGACTATGAACAACTTCTGGTTCCTGCTAAACTGTATTAACTTTCTTGTTATTTGCATCATATTCAGTTTATATATTATAATTTTTATCCTGCCCTACAAAAAGTTTCCCCTGAAGTGTAAATGATGGAGAAAGATGATGGTGGATCTATGTTCGATGTAGATTTCTTTTCGTGTGATCCCAACATTGAATAGAGCACAGAAACAGACAGGGATGCCATAGTTCCAGATTATCTGGACATTCTGAACCCAAAGAGCTGTAATTTCAAATTCGGGATCTGAATTCTAAATCTGAATGTGGATGCTAGTGCACCTCCCTACGGAGAAGCAACCTGTATAAGTCATAGCACTGGATTAAGACCAACCAAGTTCCATACCGTACCAGATCTGGTGAAGGACGTGAGGAGAAGCACTGGGAAGTCCAGTACATGGCTGCTGTTTTCCAGTGTCCCTCAAGTAACTTTTTGCTGCAGTGACAAAAGAGTAAGTCTCTTTCCCCCTCTGTTTTCGAGCCAAATAAATTTTGGGTCATGCTTGTGTTAGCAACATGTTTGACTCCACTTTGCTTACAAGCATTTTCAGTTAGGAGTGTGGGTATCCCCTAGCCTGCTCCTAGCCCATGAAAAATTCTTCAGGTTTACAGAGTTCACATACTGAACAGTTTTTAGAAACCCTCCTATTTCTAATTACTAACCTACCCTGGCTCTAGCCACAGATTTTTTTAAACCACAAGTTAGCATGCTCAGTTATAATAATGCTGGTGGGTGACTCTTTCCTACAAGAGCAGTTGAAGCCCTCAGGATTCTCCTCACAACAGGAAGGCCTGGCCTTAGAGGATTTGTTTCCTGATTGGCTCTCAGGGGTGTCCGTATTGATCTGGCCAAAGACACCAGACCTTGCTTTCTAGCGTTGCCCCTGCACGGTCTGCGTCTAAAGAATCTTTAAATCCTAAGCAGAAGCAGGAGATGGAGGCCCGTTCCAGCAGGCCTGACTTGCTCCTGTCCACCTCATTCCCTCATAGGCTGTGCAACATGAGCAGCCTCTCCCCCAAGGTGTAAGACTTGAATCCCCGCCCAGAGGATGGTCAAGGAACAAGCTAAACCCTCCTGTTACAGAGAGAGAAGGATTGGTGGACCCTGTGGAATGGATCTTCAGACAGTTCCAGTTTTGAATTTTGGGGAATATATTCCTGAATGTCTTTGTGTTCCTCTGAATTAATAAACAGAGATTTGTTGTTGTTGTTAAAGATATAATGTAGTGATGTAAGGGCAGGAAGTACTGGGGCCTGGAAACTATGAATAATCCCCACCCCAGAACCCATCAGAAAGGAATATATCACATATCCCCACCAGTAAGCGATAAAGAACTCAGAAAGCCACAGGAAAAGCAAGGGATCTACAAGCTACAATTATTTCTTGACAGTTTTGTTTACTGTGGTGCCAAACAGAATTAGAAATCTGTACTTCCCAGCTATATATGACATGTTTCAATTCACCATGACAGATTTGTTGGGTTAGGGGTATTTGAACATTAAAAATATAGATTTTACAAGATAATGGGACAAATCTCCTGATTTTGTTATAAATGACATTTATGGAATGTTACTTATGCAGCCTCAGTTCTGTTTTTATGTTGTATGGTTTTAAGAGTTGTATGGTTCCAGCTACTGAGCAGTAAAAAATGTAATAAATTAATGAATAAATAAATAAAACAGCCTCCTCAGCACAGCAGTTGAAGAAGGGGGCAAATAACAGGATCAGAATGGAAATGGGTGGTAAAAGCTGCTCCTGGTTGCGCCTGCTTTGCTTTTAAATTTTATGCTAGGGTTGCAAGAAGGAATTGACAGATCATTATTTTTCTGGCTGGTATTAGGTTATACATATTCATCAAGACATCCGCTCTAACCCACCCACTGATACATTCATCAAATAGTTTTTAACATGCAGAAAAATGTGTATTTTTATATTCTTTTTAAAATTTATTTAAACGTGTTCATATTTTAAACACTTTTATTCACCAAAAAGATGAACTTTGGAATGTGTTTTCTTTCTAATATGCTTTTTCTAAACATTTCCCCCAAAATATATATTTTATATGCATCATGATATATTTTTGAGTCAAGAATGGCAATACAAACTTGGAGAAGTGAGAAATCCAAAGAATACAGTAACTGTGATTACTGTCTATGTAAGTTACACAAACTAGGGGGTACAGATCAGACTGGATTATTTTGGAACACAGACCCCACAAAAATCCTCAGATTTCTCAATTTGCAGGATAGCATTGTTACCGGTTTGCAATTACCAGACCAAATACTTATACCTATAGTTCTCTACATCTGCTGGTACAATGTTGATCTGACTGATCAAAAACAGAAAGGATCACAAGTATGCCTTCAGCTATCTGCCTGGTGTACCCATGCATGTGCTTCTTGGGGGGGGGGGGCTTTTTTCCACACTGAATGAAAAAAAAAATTGAAGTCAGAAGCTGGGGAAGACGGTCAAACATTCTCAGTGTGGGGTCTGAATCATTACAGTGCATTATATAGAAATATTGTATATTTTAACAAATAATGAGCAATTATTTATAATAATTTGTAATGCTATTTATTAATACTTATTTAATTAAATGTAATGATTTTAGGTGAAAAATGCATATGATGATAACCCAGTACGAAGAACCCTAAAGCATATCCCATATCTTCATACAAATACTGGCCACTCTTAGATAAGATTCACTGTATGGACTTAAAATTGTAGTTTATGTCTGCAGTAATTTCAGTGAGAACACCAACTTTTTACTGTCTTAATAACCAAAGGTGGAAACAGATGTTACTCAATTTTTAGAGAAGGGAATTCTATAACTACTTAAAGGATCTGAGTGAACAACAGGAGTTTTTCTCGCTTTGTATAGTTTTAAAATGAGTTTGCTTTGTTTGGTTATTGATCTTCAGGATTTAAATGTACCATTCTTCTGAAATCTCTTTTCTCATGTCTGCCTGAATCATGTTTCTTCAATATTGATGTGCTTTTAGTGTAATCAAAAGCTGTTTATAGAATCTATTTTTGCCCCAGCAATGAAGAATAAATTAAACTGCAAGGATTAAACAGACTACAAATACTTTTTGTTACTGGGGATTACTTGTTAAACACCATTCCAGTTCCGCTGGTGGATCAAACTGTTATAATTGAGAGTTTCCTAACCCCCAAGCTAAATGTAGCCTTTCAAGGGATTGCTCTGTGCTCTCAGAGGCCAAAAGGTAGGCCCTGTCTCCTCCAAATTGGGAGCGTTGAACTCTTTGAGACTGCAACACAATCAGCTTTGCTCCTCCTTTGCTTTCTCCCTTCAAGTACTGTAAGGGGAGAGAAAAGGAAGACAGCTTGGCACTTAGCTTGGCCCAAGAAGTGCTTTCTCTAGCCAATGGATGAGACTGCTTGGTTCTCCTGTAGCTTCTCTAATCAGGGAAACAAGGACAAAGGAAATCCAGCTGTGTAGTTACAGGGTCAATTCACACATTAAGGGAAATACATATTTCTTTCTCTTATGATGTTTGAATCTCATTGGGATGGTGAGAGCCAGGCAAAGCAGCTGCATATTCAGCTGGTGCCTGAAGGAACAATCATTCCTATGCCTCTTTCTGCATTAAGAAGAGGGGGAAGTCCCTTCCTTTCTGTAGACAGAAGTGTAGAATGCTTATTCTACAAAGAAAAAGTAGTTGTTTTGTCATCATTGGGGTGGGTAATCTAACCCTCAAGCCAAATAGTGTTCCCTGCTCCTAGATGCCCCATATGCTTGAAATGCCTTGATCAGTAGAATGAATCAGTTTAAGCTGAATGAATGTGCCAATAAATGAGTTATTATTTTTTGCAGACAAAAGTGGTAAGTAGCTAGTGCAATAAAGATGGAAAGGAAGTATAACTAGTAAACTACTTCAAACTTTTTTTAAAGGCATCAGAATGTATGCAGCATTATTGGTAACTAGCTGTCTCCCACAGCAACTGCATGTGGCATAATTTGCAGATGTGGCTAGTATCACTTTGCTCATCCTTGATTTAAAATCATATATAAATGTTACGAATCATAGTGATACACTTTCTTGGAGACTCTAATGGAGATCTAAAAAACGCTTACTAACTTTTTCCTTCTTGTGAATTTAAGCTGTTCAACAAGGAATTTTCAAGCCCTGTGAGACTTTTCACCTCCAGGCCACAATGAGACAAGACAGCACAGTCTCTATGCATAGATATTATCTTTTCCCTTTGTGAAGCAAAGAACAAATTTCACTTAATTTTAAAAAACATTTACTGAGAGCACCAGATGCTACCTCACCATCTTGTGTGTCAAGAAGAATTATTCTTCAATTCCTTGCCCTCATACATGTAGATGGGACAAGTAAGAATGTATACCCTGAGAGGCTAATTCTTTTTATTGTGAAATTAGTCCATGTATATCTATTCTGCTTCTGTATTATTATTTTAAACCAGTTACTGTATCATTAAAAAAAAACCCATCCTTCTAGCACATAATGACTAAGTTTATTTGTTTTTAATTTACTGAGCATAGATGCTGGAAGTCAGGAATACAAAAAATGACCTACTTTCTGTTGGGCAACCCTGAGGCGAACACAACTAAAATGCACAACTGAGGTTGCAGTTACACCAGGGAAACATTTCCCTCTTCTAATGATACTTTCCATACCTTTATTGTTCTAAATTGCAGTCACATGGTGTATATACCTGGACAAGCGTCCCAATGTGTTTTAACATTACCGATCCATTTTCTCCTATTTGATTCGTTATGACAGGCTACACCGTGATACCGATTTATTTTCTCTCTTGTTTTCTGGGGCACTGTCGCACCTTACTTCAATTTAAAAAAAAAAATTAACAATACATCAATATGTCGGGTAGGGGTTCCTGTTTGGTAAATTTCCTCTGTTGCGCCAGCACCTCTAGAAGAACTGCACTTCACTCAGTGGACCTGGCATTCCCACACAGAGCTGTATCGCTTACCAGGCAGTATGTGGAGTGATGCAACGCCAGCCTCGTGGTGCAGTGGTTAAACCGCTGTACTGGAGCCAAAACTGTGCTCACGACCTGGGGTTCAAGCCCAGGTAGATGGCTCATGGTTGACTCAGCCTTCTATCCTTCCGAGGTTGGTAAAATGAGTACCCAGCTTGCTGGGGAGGCAATGTGTAGCCTGCATAATTAACTTGTAAACCGCCCAGAGAGTGCTTGAAGAACTATGGGGCGGTATATAAGCAGCACGCTTTTTGATTTGCTACCAATGCCCTGGCATACCTGGCAATTGACATAAGTTTACTTATGTATTGACATACCAGCCACGAAACAATTTAAACAAAAATTATAGCAGGGCAGCCACGCAGCAGTAATGACAACCACCTTCCCTATTGACTTGGCTTTGGAAAATAATGTACTGTATAGGTTCATGCACACATGCCATACTTCTAAGGAATATATTGAAACACCATTAGAACAAAATAGTAGAAGTCTCCCAGCAAGAGGAGAATAAACTACAGTTGCACCGCTGGCCAGGTAAATGATCCGATAATGGCTGTGTGTCGTGTGACTGGAAATTTCTGCAGTGATCTAACAGGGGTATAACTAAGGAATATTTGCCTCATGTGATCATGCCCTGAGTTGGAACTTGATGCCTATCCATATGTCAAAGTGACTTTTATTATAACTGGTTATGGGGGGTGGGGGAAACAGTTGCTATCACAAACATGACATAGATTTTAAAAAATACTCTTGCTGTGACATAATTCTACTGCTATGCTGCAAATCTGTTTGGGTCAATAGCTGATATAATCTAACACAAATACTTTAAAAGTCAATGTGCCACTGGCAGTGTATATGTGTGAGAGTGGAAGAAATATAGAGTATGTGAAACTAGAGAAATCCATGAGTGAAGGGAACTTGCAGCCTACTAGGGAGCAAAAGTAGAGGTGGCATTAGTAGAGATATTAAGATATCCATCTCAAATGCAACTCTTAATCTAGCCAATCTCTCAATTCATTATGCAAATCTGAGAG